AAGTAAAAAAGTTTGTCCTTTCTTCCTCCTTGAATATCCCAGACCTCTCTCTCCTTGGGGACCCCAGTTTCTTGATTTTAAGTAAATATTCTGAAAAAAAGTGAAAGTGAAAGTTGCTCAGTCGTGTCTGACTCTTTGCTACCCCAAGGACTATACAGTGCATGGAATTCTCCAGGCCAGAATACTAGAGTGGGTAGCCTTTCCCTTCTCTAGGGGATCTTCCCAACCCAGGGATCGAACCCAGGGCTCCCAGATTGCAGGTGGATTCTTTACCAGCTGAGCCACAAGGGAAGCCCAAATAAATATGCTAGTGACTCCTAAATTTCTATCTCTAGTCCTGATCTTCTGGACTCCAGAGACATGTACAACTCATCATTTAACATTTCCATTGGTCTGTCTAGGAGAGATCTCAAACTTGAAATATACAAAATAGAACTCCTGATTGTCCAATTCTTCCCCCAACACTTGCCCAAGCAAGGCACTCCCCAGGCTTTTTCTTTTCAGCAAATTCTAACCAATCTTCCCAGTTTCTCAAGCCTGAAAATGGATCATCCTTTCTTGCAGCTTCCCATATCTTACTCAACACCATATCACATTGATTTAATAACCAAAACCTGTTTCAAATTTGTTCAATTCTTTCCATATTACAGCCTGTAAATAACCTTCTTGTATCCAGTGCTGTCTCCTCCAATCCACCTTTCATGAATCAGTCAGGCCAATCTTTTTAAAAAATTATCTGACTTTACCACTCCCCTGCTTTCCATTGTGCTCTATATAGAATATAAATTCCTTAATATGACCAACAGGCCTTTGTAATATGGTCCCATCTATCATCTGCTTGACTCCAGCACTCCAGCTCCAAAGGGGGAGCTGGAGCCTGTGGACTAACTGCCCACTCCCATCTAGCATGCCTCCCTGCATTGCATGTTGGGAAAGCTAAGAACTATAGTTCCTTGATCCGCCTTGCAGCTAGGAACCAACATGTGATCTCCTTCTGCCAATCACAAGCACTTGTAAAAGATGACCTGGGAGCCCAGTTAAGGAGGGGAGAGATAGAAAATGAGGCATCTCTTTTGCTGGTACAAAACTGGGCCAGAATCAGCTCGGTTCTGCAGTCACCGGTTTCCAGATTTGATTTCCTGCAGCAGCAACAGTTTTCCTAGTCATAGAAGTAATGACGTGGTTCAATGAGTAAGAGGTTGTCTCTAGAAGCTTGGTTTGAACTCTCACCCAAAGAACTTCCCTTCCAGTTCCTTCAGTGATTTTGTAAACCCCTGCTACTGCTAAGTCACTTCAGTTGTGTCCGACTCTGTGCGACCCCATCCCTGGGATTCTCCAGGCGAGAACACTGGAGTGGGTTACCATTTCCTTCTCCAATGCATAAAAGTGAAAAGTGAAAGTGAAGTTGCTCAGTCATGTCTGACTCTTCGCGACCCCATGGACTGCAGCCCACCAGGCTCCTCCGTCCATGGGATTTTCCAGGCAAGAGTACTGGAGTGGGGTGCCATTGCCCTCTCCGTGTAAACCCCTGAGTACCTGGTAAATCTCTTCTTCCTCAACCTAGCTAAAGTAGTTTCTGTTGTCTGCAACTGAGCCCTAGAAGATGGACTGACCAACTTTTTATTATTTGGTTGGACCAAAATCACTGCTTAGAATGTGAGTTTGTAATCATCCTGGCTGAATCTGAACCCTTGTTCCAGGACCTACACACTATATGACCTTGGATAAGTTACTTCATCTCTTTAGCCTCAGTTTTCTCATTTGTAGAGCAGGAATAAAAATAGCATCTATCCCAGAGAGTGTTTAAGGATAAGATGAGATAATACTGGTAAAGCATTTGGTATAGTCGGTTGGCACACAAATAAGAGCTCACTAAGTGTTAGCTTTTATAATGACTGTAATTAAGTATTATTAGTATTTCTTTACACAAGGCCTTCAAATTTGCTCTTTTTTATGCCTAGATTGTGCTGCCTGCTCTGCATTCAATTGACTCCCACTGATGAGTTTCAAGTTTCAGTTTATACATCACTTATTCAAGAGTTACCTCCTCTTTCATTTAATCATGCCTAGCCTCTGTTTTCCCTCCAAATGGCACTTTTCCCTCTTGGATGCTTATGGATTCAATCCTAATCTCTCCACCAGGGAAACACAAGGTCCAGAAAGGCAGAAGTAGTGACAGTTCATAATGGGCACCCAGCATTTTGCTTAATATGCAAATGAGCACAATAAAACTTTCTCAAATGTGACCAATGAGTGACCCATTCATCTGGGTGCAAATGTCATAGAAGTTGCTCAACATGTGCAGAGCTGTCACCAACAAATTCTAAAAGAGGGAGCCCAGCCCTGCTTTGGCATAAAATAGCCCAGTTGTGTGTTTAGGAGATCATCTGTAAGTTTTCTTTATAATATGAAGTTACATATTGATAGCACTCTACAGGTTTCCAAGCCCTTTTAGATATATTAATTTTAATCCTCACAATAACCCAATTGTCTTTGTATCCCATCTTACGAAAAAGGAAATATAGCCTTCAAGGTGTTTACACCATGCCCTGCATCACATAGCTATGAAGCAACATGTTTCACAAATCACGGACTGGTAGACATGACTTCCAATCCTGGCTTTGCCACTTTTTTGCTGTGTGGACTTGAGTAAATTGCTCAGTCTCTCTGAGATGACTTCCTCATCTTTGAAAACGTAGTAATAGCATATGTGTTGTTGGGAAGATTAAACATATAATAACTGAGATATGTACTAGATAAGTAACAGACAACCCAGATGTTATTACCACCAGCAGCAACATCATTGTTAAATCGTTCAGTTTTACTGAGCAAGATGGTAAATCAGACTTCTCAATCAGACCATTGGATTCTTGACCAATGAAACCTTTGAATTACATATGAATCAAAGCTGCAGCATGAATTCCACCCTCCATTATATTAAATGAGAGATTTAATAGCCGACATATCAGCCACGGATGCACAGACTAACATTCATACGAGCTTGTTCCATCTCAGCAATCAGAGTGTAACTCCTTGTAGTTTCCTTGATAGCAGAAACTAGAGCTTCCTTTTTCTAGAGTGCTTTGGACGTAAGTTTTGATTATGTATCAGTGGATGAGTAGGAAGCAAAAGAAAAAAGAAACAAAACCAGCTATGGACAGGAAGTCCAAAGCACTTCAAGAAACTGAAACTGATATTTCAAAACAAATTCTGCCAAGTAGATGATCCAAATCAGCCAAAGGTTCCTGGCCCTATGCTCAGAACTTTTATAAACCTTAGACCAAAAAAAACCGAACAGTCCTTTATCCTGTTTCTGGGAAGGAATCAACTCTCTGATGAGCAGACTGTTAGGCCGGGTGCCACAAACAACAGTCATGGATTTTGCTGTTGTTCCAGCTGACCTGGTTTGGCCACAGTGGAGCAGGTATGACTATGTCACAGGGAATCAATGAAGTGAAGACAGATGGTAATAATTCAGAGGCCGGATGACAGACCTGAGTACTAACGTTTATGTTTTCAGCATCCTTTAGATGCTATCAGCTAAAACCACAGCTAAATTGCCCACAACCCGTGCTTTTCAAAGGGATTATAAGGGTCCCCAGTTCTTGCTCAGGGCTATGACCTCAACATCTTGAATATCCATAGTACTAATAAAGATCCCTGGTTTTAATCCTATGAGAATGACCACATCATTTCCTGTTTCCAATGCAACCGAACACAACGAATGGGATTCAGACCTCTGGCTCTCCCAGGACAAAGCAGATCTCATGTGTTGACTGACTGTCTTACTGAGGACCTGGGCTGCCACATATCTCCCCTGAGAAGGGAAAACTCCTTCATCACAGTAGAAAGGCTGCTCAGATATGGTGAGGTGCTAAAAAGCAGTATAAGTGTGTGCCCAAACCATGTATGACAAGAAACCCAGCTTATTAGTAAATCAATCTCTGCAGTACTGCTCCAGAACTTCATGTCTTAATCATAAAAATAACAGCTGCTATGCCGGGAAAACAGCTAATATGTCTTGAAACAATACAGCCAATATTTATTTAACACTTAACTTTTGCCAAGTACTGTGCTAGATTTCAGAGAAAATTAACTCCTCAATCTTTATCACAGCCAGGTGAAGTAGGTATCATAATTATCCCCATTTCACAGATGATAAATACAGGCTCAGAGCAGTTAAGTCACTTCTATGATACCACACAGCTAGTTAGCAGCAAAAAGAACACTCAAACTCAGGACAAACTGACCTGAAAGCCATCTTTAGTGTAGCTCTATGCAAGGTCTTTTCACACGTCTGGCCAGCTGCCCCTAAAGTCAGCACTAAGAAGATAATATTCCTCTTTTCCTTTCATCCTTCAGGTATCAACTCAGTAAATGAGCAGGACCCTATGAGGCTTTTCCAGGACAGAACCCTCCCCCATATCCTCCGCTGTAGCTCCTCTCTGAAGCACTAGTTAATAGTAGCTGATGCACATTTCCTGAGTTCTTTTACAGATGCTAAAACCACCACCAAATGCAAGAAATTAACTACTTGATGATCACAGGCATGTAGTTCCTAGACCTAAGGATTGATAATGTTAGCCCTTGTGACACTGCTCTGTTCCCTCACCATCAATCAATCAGAGAAATGTTCACGAGTGGATCACACACCCTAGCAGACACCCTCCCTCACCTCGTCTTTAAAAATGCTCTCCTGAAACCTATCAGGGAGTTCGGGTGTTTTGAGCACGAGCTGCCCTGGACTCCTTGCTTGGAACTTGCTATAAAAGCTGCACTTTCCTTCACCACAACCTGGCATCAGTAGATTGACTCAACTGCATGTGGGTGAGCAAACACAAGTTTGGTTTGGCAACAATAACACTCAATACCTCTTATTCACAGCACCTCTTGTAACATCTGATCTCTTCCACTAGACTGGGGCTTTGGGGAGCGCAGGGACCAGGTGTGTCTTGTTCATGATTAGAGACCCAGGGGGCAAGAGAATGTCTGGCACCTACCTCATAGGCATCCGAGATATTTGTGGGATTTATGGATTCATGAATAATATTTCCATAGTGCTTCTTTTCATATTTTCATAGTGCGTCTCTCCAGAATTTCCTCTGTCCTGGGGATCAGAAAAGCAGGTGAACCTGGGAGCATGTTTTTTGAAAATGCTGTAAATCCTCAAACAATGCTGATCCTTTGATTTTAAGGGAGCTCAAATTTCTCTGTGGTATGTAAAAGCCAGTTATGTCAAACATATCACAAGGCAATCACCTTTTAGCTCTGTTGTAGTGGTCAGAGAGAAAGGAAGTTTGCTGTGCTAACACACATTCATAAAGGTAAATCTTTAGGATATTAAGTCATGTTAATGTCAGCAACAGTCATTGCATTAAAGGACAGCGCTTGGGAAAAGCATGGTCTTGCCTCTTTACCGCTAACCAGGACCAGTTCCAGGACGTGTGGGATGCAGTTAAAAATGAAAATGTGGGTTCCCTAATTCAAAAAATATTAATAATTTCAAGACAGTGACAACACGGTATTAAACTAAGTTCAGGTTTCTGGTCAGATTCACAGGCTGTCCACCCACAAAGTCAATCCTGTGATTGACAGCTTCAGAACTCTAAGTTTTTGACTATTTCTTTTATTTCACCATACTCTCAAGATTGCATGAGGTAGACACTTACACAAACTAGACATTTAGGCATCAAACAAAGAATATTCTTGCTCTAAGTGAATAGTGGAAAGGGACTAACAGAAGGACCGGAAGAGGAAGAGAGAAAAAGGATGGAGAGGCGGAGCCAGAGAGAGATACCTGTACCACTCTGACCAATCTCCAAGGAGGGGTGGGCAATATAAAGGCAGAGGTCCAAACTATTATGTATGATATAAACTACAAGGATATATTGTACAGCACAGGGAAGGTAGCCAATATTTTATAACAACTATAAATGGAGTATATAACCTTTAAAAATTGTGAATCACTGTATTGTATACTTATAACTTAAATAATGCTGTACATCAAATATATTTCAATTTTAAATATATTAAGAAAATAAAACTCAGCTGAACCTTTCTTTTTTTGACCTTTGATAGGGAAAGAGGGATTGAGGTAGAGTAAATGGTTTCAGATATGTAAACCCAAGGAAATAATTATCAGCCCAGCACTGAGGATTATGAATATTATTAATCTACTCTCTCTGCTCCTCATGAAGCAAGACTATTGAGAGTCACAAATAGTCTCTCCCAGGAGTTGCACCATAACTTTTTCAGCCTATGATCTGACTGAACTTCAACCCCTAACCGCACCCTGCGGCCAGCCTAGCACATGGTGTGGGTGTTTGAGGATCGGAGTAAACCTCTGCACAAACCTCTCTCTCCTCCAACAGGACTTTAAAAAGTAGGTCCTGAGCAAAGCCCAGGAGAGAATTCATCCTATCCAGGGCACTGTGCTTTTAATTAAAAGCTCTAGTTGGCAGGAGAAGCCTTTAAGTACTTGGGGGAAAAAAAAGAAATATTTCAAAACAAGATTCAGTCTCACTTGTGATGAGATTTACACAGATTCATAAGGTTTAACCAAAGAGCAGTCATTAATTAAACTCAAGCAATAAAAAAAAAACCTCATGCTGTATTATCCAAGGTCTCTAAACACAGGCATTGACCTAGAATCCAGTGTCCATAAGAGGGACCAGAATCAACCACCAACTGAAGTGTTGCTTTCTCACTTACAGTATGAATTCAGTGAAGAAACATGAGATCCTTTTTTCCAAGGTTTTTTCTTCTGAGACTACTTTTTTAATTGTGACGAGTTACTGTTAGATTGTAGGTTAAAAAATTATTAGGAATGGGGGAAAAAACCACAAAGATTAAAATCCTACCTTCACTGCTTCTTTACTTTATGACTTTGGGTATATTACCTACCTTCCCTTTCTAAGTCTCAGTTTTCTCAACAATAAAATGACATAACAATTAAAACAGTATAACAGTACCACCCAGCAGGGTCATGAGGGTTTCATAAGATAATTTTGTAAAACATTTAGTATGGTAGCTGGTACATAATAATCACTGAACAAGAGCTATTAATTACTGACATTACTATGATACTGAGGTTTCAACTCACAATTTCAAGGTTGATTAATGGCCCCAAAGGTAATACTTTTGTCATTGTTAACACAATCTTATTGTCTGGAACTCAGAAAAAATATCAATCAGTAGTAGACATTTAATAAATACATATTGAACAATGATTCACTCAAAATCAGTGTCTGTTTATAACACTAGATTTCAAGCTTTATTGAGATTAGGATCAAGAATTAAGCATCCATTTTTTCAAAACATATTTATTGGCACAGTGGGTAAGAATCCACCTGCCTATGCAGGAGACACAATTTTGATCCCTGGGAAGATTCCACATGCCATGGAGTAACAAAGCCCATGTACTACAACTACTGAGCCTCCATGTTGCAGCTACTGAAGCCCACGCACCTAGAGCCTATGTTCCGCCATGAGAAGACACCGCAATGAGAAGTCTGCGCACCACAACAAAGAAGTTGCCCAGCTCGCTGCAACTAGAGAAAACCGTTCAAAGCAATGAAGACCCAGTGCAACCAAAAATAAAATAAATGAAAAAAAAAATTTTTTAAGCTTATTTATTAGGCTTCTACTGTGTTCCAGGTATTATGCCCTCATAGGGTCTATTTCAGACAAAGCAGATGTTAACAAAATTTTACTTAACAAAAGATCTCCTAATCCTGTTCCTAAAACTCAACTGCAACATAATGGTTGGTCAGTGGACCTATAAAAATCCCTGCTGGGCTCTCTGACATGTAGCCCATTGTTTCCTGGAATTCCTTATTCCAGAGAAACCAAAAATCTGTGAAGAAGCCTATGAAACAATTACTTTTCTCCAGAAACCTGGTCCCTGAATTAAGCACTACTATGTCAAAAGTTAACAGATGCTTCTGAGGGCAGGGATTTTTTTTTTTAGCTTTTGATTTTATTTGTCTCTGTTTTAAAAATAAATGAATGAACAAAAATACACACATAAACAGACCCCAAAGACTATATGTAATTAGGATCACTTTGGTTTATAACTACAATCCCAAAATTCTCTGAACTTTAGTGATTTAAGAAAAGGGATCTTACTCTACAGAGCGAAGTGAATTTTTATAGTCATTATGCAGGGAAATCAACTTCTGTATCCTCAAGTCTGCCTCCAGTGATCTTCTGAGAGGCACTGCATCAAGTGTCAGAAGTAGAAACTTGACTCAGAGCAAGCTCCCAATCACCCAAATGCTTTCTGAACAGAGGAGGCACAAAGAAATTAATTTTGCAATGAATGTACTCCTTTAATAATAAACAACCTGCCACAGAATTCAGCACATAGTATAGTCATCCCTTGTGCTTCCCTGGAGGCTCAGTGGTAAAGAATCTGCCTGCAATGCAGGAGATGCAGGTTTGATCCCTGGGTTGGGAAGATCCCCTGAGAAGGAAAGGGCAACCCACTTCAGTACTCTTGCCTGGGAAATCCCATGGACAGAGAAGCCTGGTGGGCTACAGTCCATGGTGCTACAAAAGAGTTGGATATGACTTAGCAACTAAACATCAACAACAACACAGTCATCCCTCAGTACCCAAGGGAGACTGATCCCAGGACTCCCATGGGTACTGAAATCCACAGATTTTGGTATCTCAAGTTCCTCATATAAAATGGCATAGTATTTCCACAATAACCTAGGCACATCCTCCTATATACTTCGAATCATCTCTAGATTATTCATTATACCAAGCACAATGTAAATGTTATGTAAATACTACGTAAATAATTGTCAGCATGCAGTAAATTCAAGTTCTGCTTTTTGGAATTTTCTGCAATTTTTTCCAAATACTTTCTATCCATATATTATTGAATCCATGGATACAGGACCTGGGACTATGAAGAGCCAATTGTAAACACTTTATACTTATTCATTGATTGATTGGATAACCAGTCATAATGGAGATTTTTTTGATCTAGGCTGTAGTCTAATCTTTAGTAGCTATTGAGTTATATCAAAGCCTGAAATCTCTGTTTCTTTTTTGTTCTTTTTTTTCCAAAACAAACTGCAGTTCTTTGCAGTAATCACTTATACATTCTGGCAACTTTAATTAGAATTAGAATGTTAAAATATATGCCTGACTTAGAAGGCTTAGCTCCAGGCTGGACAGAGCAGAGTTATCAAGGCAGCCGCTGTCTGTGAGGCACCGGTGGGCTTTCACTTGTCACACTCTTGGAACTCTTCAGTGAAAAATCTCACAGATAAGGTAAATCCCTCCATCTAACTGCAAGTGGGGAAAGGCCATTTAACAGCCTTTTCAGATTCCTCAAATATTTTTTAATAAACACACTAGGCATTTTTAAATGGGATTTGCAAACTTATTTTAAGAATTCCAAAAAATAACATCATAGGCAATAAAATGTGTCTGTGTCATATTCTCTGATTTGCTTTAAGGTGTCAGTAAAACGTCACCAAAATGAATCCAGGAGTGCAACATTGATTGCCCTCTTGACTTTAGTGTCTTGGTTCTATTCATTTTCTAGACCAAGTGGGAGCAAAATAAAAGGCAAACACGAAGTAGATATTTTTCTTTTCAGTTTCAACCAGCAACTTGTGCCTCTCTTTAGAGTATAAAAATAAAATATTTTTAAACACATGAATAGAGACCAGTCTTTCTATGTGTAGAGCATGCTCAGGGAGAACCCTGCAAAGAGAAAATTTCTAGAGGCTGTACTTTTCATGTCTAGTGGAGTTATTTTAATTGCTTCCAGGACTGATTTAACAAATGGTTTCGTGATCTCTGAAGAGCTAAGTGTGTTTGGGAGACAAATATATACACATATACAGAAGAAGAAGAGAGAGAAGTTCCACAAAAGGCAGTGTAGTGTGGTATAAACAGAATGGAATTCAAAATTCTGGATTTAAACCCATACTCTGACACTTCCTGGCCATGTGGCCTTGGGTAAGTCTCACATACCCTTGAAATGTCTTTTCTGCTATAAAAAACAAACTTAGATACCAGTGCCTAGAATGTAGGGCAGAATTTTTCAAAATGAGATTT